ATCAGGAAACTGTTTACTGAGCTTGTAAATCAAGTCAGAAGTCCGCTCATTTTTCCATAAGACGGCATGGTATCAGTGTTTTATTGCAGCCAATGGCGCTCCCTCTGCTGGTCATTACGTAGAATACAGGTTTAAGACACTTCCACACCGACTTAACTTCACAGACCTGGAAGCTCTGTCCATTATACACCGATGTATACACTGTCAATGGTCTGTACTTCTCTCTACAGCTGCAGTGTAGTGTTTTCATTATCGATTAATCTTTCGATTATTTTCCCAATTGATTGATTCGTTTTTTTAACCACAAAATGTCAGAAAATGTTGAAAAATGTTGATCACTGTTTCCTAAAGCCCAAAGTAACATTCTATAATATCTAGTTTTGTCCACATCCCAAAGATATTTACTTGGCAACGACTGTGCATGTAGATGCAGCGGCCGGTATCTCCTTCAAACTTTCTATATTTTTAATGGAATCTGTATTTTGTTTGGCTTTATTACTGAAAATATTGTTGAATGACGTCTGATGGGGTTTAATCTTAATGGGGAGATTTTGACTATGGCAGGGTAGTTCCGTCAAACTTATGTTTTTATTTCAATCTGTTTTCGGCTTTATTGCTGTAACACGTATTACCTATGACAGAAATAGACTACAGTTATCATACAAGGACTGATGAAAGACTTTTAGACAATCCCCCCAGCCCACCATGCCGGCTCCTGTCACCCCAAGAGGAGAGGAAGAGAGCCGTACAGGAGCCATGTTGGACCAGCTTGCACTTAACACTGCTCCTGGATAATGTTCAGTGTGGACGATATGGGAATCAGGCTGGCCAAACAACAAGAAATTGTAGACTGTTGTGCCCACATCTTCACAGAAACCTGGTCCATCAACATCCGGGTGGACCACGTTCAGAGCTGGCAGAGTACAGGACAAGCGAAGGTGGATTCTGTGTTTACATTGATGATGCTTGGTGCTCGAACGCAGCTCAAAGTGGATGGACACGGTTTCTTTCTATGTAAAGATTAAGCTCAATTATCATCACTATCTTGTTGCTGCTGTTTACATTCAACAAGACACAAATTCAAAGAATGCAGATTTAAGAAATTCTCCAACAAAAATGACTGAATGGATGAAAATTATTAATTATTAAAGTAGTCTCTAAATATCTCTTCATATAGTAGTTTGCTTGTTAGTTTGCACGCTGCATTCAAATCACCTGCTGCACTACCTCAGTTAACCTTTAAATAAAGCCTCAATCAGACACATCATGTCATTATCAATCAGGAAAATACAGCAAAAGTAGAAGAATGAATCTCTCAAGAGACACAGTGAGTGAGTGCTCTTATTTATGAAATCAACTCAAAGAAAGTTTCAAACCGAAGCGTCTCATCAGTCTAACTCCTGATGGGTTCATGTTTTTTTTCTGTTTGCAGCTAGTATGACTAATGCTCTTTGTTGTTGGCTGTAATCAATGTAGAGGGCAAATCTGCATCTGATGGATACCTGATGACGCACACAGATTACATTACCTACATCACAAAATTAGAGCTGAGTACTTAAAAAATAACAAAACAAAAGCTTTTAATTAAGTTTGTCTATGTTGTTTAACTAACCTGACGAAAGTTTGCCAAACTTGAATTTCTCCCATGGGGGATCAATAAAGGAACATATTATCTTATGCCCTAAACAGATGTTCACACTTTTTGGTTTATTTTGCTTTTTAGTTCAGGTCCACCTCATGGGATGTCACAAGAACACAAGGCCTATATCTCAGCATTTAAATAATAATAAGAAGAAGAACGCCGACCAGCACAGGACACCAACACGCTGCAACAACACCTCCACCTCAATTCATTGAAAAGAAAAGCAGTAAAAATTGTTTTCACATATGAACTCTGAACAACTTGTCAGATGTGTTTTCACATGTTGGAAATACTATGTTTGGTTTACCCCTAAATTCCACCAGGTACAGCCACAATGCGTTCCAGCTGTACCACTGCCGCCGGACACAATCGCACCTGTTCTATCATCTCTCTGCTCTGCTCCGTGTAGAATACACGACTGGTCTATTTTTGATGGAAGCATCAACCCACTCTCGTCAAGCAACACAGAGCAGATCACACTGGCAGGAAGTCAGACACAGAAA